AATCATCCTTCTTCCGCTTCAACCATCCCGAGGAAGCCTTCAGAATGAAGAGTATGATACCCAAGGGAGGGGGGGTCTCCTCTGGGAACTACACACTCTGTGCAGGTAACGTGTGTTGCTTATTCACAGGTCTCCTATGTGTTTTACCAAAGACTGTGAGACTGTTTTCTGCCTCTTTTCACTCAACAGTGGGAGACCTAGCTGCCATGTTTGTTCATTTTTTCATCTACAAACAACTCAGTGTGAAATCAAACACGTAGACCTTGTGTTATGACAAGGAAACTAGAACATTTCTGGGACTTTTATGGATGAATGAGCCAGATTGTTTAAGGCTGTTTGAGAGAGGATGAAAAACATGGCTGTGTGTTTTACATGTGGATGTTTGCACAGCAGTACTTCAGGGTTTGTATTCATTTGATTGTTTTTAACCACAAAACAAGAATAAAAACACACAAGAGGACACAGCAGTCCAAAATAAGCTTAGCATAAGTTTTTATACACACATTTTGAGGCACTACATGACTATAAGAGTTTTCTATGAAGTAGTTTTACTTAGTTTTTGTTGTTTTATAGTATTTTTTTACAAGACATTTCCGCTGCCACTGCTTAAAAAAATGATGCCAATCACTGATGAGAATCGGTTTCTATTAGTTTTTAACTTTTTGTTGAAGAGCTAAATTAGCTAAATTAACCCTTTTTACAAGACACACCACGCTGGCAAACCAGCGTAACGGTGTGTCTTATAAACGCGCCATGCTGCCATGTGAATTTTGCGATGTTTGTGTCGCGATGCGTGGTAGTAAGATTACCGCAATGCTAGACTTGTGAATGCATATTACGCCTTGGCGCAGCAGAGGGAGCTGTCATGGTCAAGTGGGGAGTTACTGCCGAGCTCCGACCGGTAACTATATTAAAAATGAAAGTAAACACGGGCTGTAAGTTTAGCTTTTGTAAACAGAACCAGCTGAGACGATAAACTGGAGCAATGCAGTGCTCCAGGAGCTTCTCTCCGTTAGAGCTGGAGTTCAGATCACCAGAGACTGCACGGGGACTGTGGAGGACAGCTTCAGGAGCGGCTTGTCAAACAAACTTAATGATCTTTCATTGTAACAAAAACAAGTTATGTTCAAATAAACGGAAGTCCGCGGCAGCGAAGACACCGCCCCCATACCCTCTTTATACTGCCATTGCAGTAATGTTTTGTAAAAAGGACGCGATTGTGTGACATTACCGCCACAGTCTGACCACTCATAAATGACCTAAGGCTCCCTGAAGGCATTGCAGCAAATTGACGGCATTGTTTTGTAAAAATGGCTCACTGAGAGTTTAAAAATGCCAAAGGCAGTGTTGTCCATTATTCAGGCGGTAGTGCTGTTTAAAGACCCCTTTTGTCAGTATGAGGCTTTAACCTGCAGTACTTGCTGAACCCTGAAGCCTGCATGACTTTCAGCTGGTATCTGGAGCTGGAGTTCATTCTAGTTTATGAGCCTTCCACTCTTCTGTGTCTCCACGCAAAAGTTTTCAGCTGCCTGTTTTTGAATATGTGCATATAAATATGTGTATGTGTGTGTGTGTGTGTGTGTGTGTGTGTGTGTGTGTGTGTGTGTGTGTGTGTGCACTCTGAGTGTTTCTCCTGGCTGGCACACAACTGTAAGCATATCTCCTTCTTGGCCACCACTACGGAACTGTCACAGCATCTTATTATTTCCCCTTTTCCCGCCTGACGCTGCCTGCCACCAGGGGATACGTTTAGCACATAGGCATGCTGCCTGCTGTTGACTTCCTGCTGCAGTAATGAAAGCCTTCCGTTGTTTAGAAACGCACCACTTATGCATTCCTGTGTTGCGTTCAGATGAAGACTGCTTACGCCACTCCTATGATAAACAGGGCACATCCTGAACATCAAGGCAAAAAGCATTTGTTATCTGTGCCTGAGCTCTAGGAGGATCACAAAAGCAAAATTCCACTGAAACTGACAATTTCCTGTCCCCCCCCCCCCCCCCCCCCCCCCCCATAATTAAGTCTGAAATATAACTAACTCTTGATCACTCAGCATTTTTAATCAGATTTTACATTTTGGTTTAAAATCCACTTAGTGTATTTATGGGTGCTTGGAATTCGTAAACATCAGCATGGATGCTGGAAAATCTTGAATATTTAAAAGAAGAAGAAGAAAATATCATTTCTATAGTGCCTCTCAAGATAAAAATCACGAGGCGCTTTACATTGAAAGTTGAATTTGAATTTTGTGCAGGTGTAAGAACAGATGGGCCAAGGGTTTTAGTATTTGCTCTTTGATGGCCAGAATGAAATATTCTTATTTAGCTGTTGCTTGTAATGATCTTCTGCTTAGAAAACTGGTCCTTGGGAAAGCAGCAGGAGGCAGAGCGAGTTGTCCAGTAATCGATGGGTTGCAGGATCAATCCCATCTCTCTGCAGGGGATTCTGCTGTTGTGTCCTTGGGCAAGACAATTCACCCTTCTTGCCTATTGGTGGTGGTTGGGCATTATCCCGGACGAGCCCCCATTTGTGTTACGACCCCCGACAGAACATGTTAAAATGTGAAGGAGGTGGTAACATAAGAACATGGAACAGTGGAATTAAAATGTGCTTAATTGTCATAAAAGGTTTAAATACACGCGAGCAAACAGATGGTAAGCATTATTAAAATATAACCAAACCAAACAATTCTCAAAAAGGTCAACAATTGAAACACCTGGTTAAAACCTTGCTAAAAGTTTTACCAAATGATAAGGTGCTTTAAAACCCACACAGTTGATAAAAGTCTAAAAACCATAAAAGAGTTAACCTTTAAAATAACAATATCAAACGATCATTAAGATTATAACTTGCGTCAATCTCAGTTGACATCTAAAAGGGAATTACCCTCTCCGAGACCGTTTGCCGGTCATATCAAAAGATCCTTCTGGATCATCTCAGAGTTTTATGCATTCCAATTAAAACTCATCACAAAACAAAGGGATTTAAACAAAATCTGAGGCCAGGAGAACAGCCTGTGAGCGACAGACTCTGCCGGGACAGATAAGCGACATTGTAGCTCATCACCACTAGTGTATGAATGGATGAATGCTTCAATGGAGTCTAATGTATTTTGGAAGCATTTATCATTTGTATCCAGATATTCTGCTGTGACCCTGGCCATAGTTATCCCATAATGGGACTGCAGGCATCTCAGACTTGTGCCATGTATCCTTATAAAAATCAGCTCCTGCTGAAAATAATGTTTTTCTGTGTAAAATAACAGTTTTATTATTTAGTCAGAGGTGCAGGTAAAAATATGAAATCATTTACATAATATTTAATCACTTTTAAAGGCAGGCTGCATTATTTCAATAATAATAACAATACATTTTCTCATCAAAATATGGAAAATGGATGAAATAAAATCAAATGGCAAATTTAATACATGATTCAAAATGAGTTATTTCTCTTGGTACTACGATTGTTGTGTATAATAAATATAAATTAAAGGAGCTCCTTTTATTATGTTCCATTAGCAATAATTGATCATGTTGAAAAACACGATGTTAAGAAATGATTACATTTGTAAAGAAGTGGAAAAGACAATTCTGGCTCTAGGTCGAGAACTCTTATTGGTATTATTTAGTTGCATTTATCAATGAAACCTCATAATTTCACTCAATCATCATTTTGCTCAATTGTAATCTATGGTATATTCTGTGTTTTCAGCCATAGACGATAACAACACCACTGATCAAACTGTTGCTTTGCACTGAGCCTCAGTGACTGAGGTCGTCTAGCTTTTGTCTAATTAGTTTATCTGTGGCAAACCTCTAAAACTACAAAAGTCTAATCTTGTAAAACAGCTCACAGACAGACAAACATTCTCCTCATTTTTTGCCTCCAGTGGCTCTCTGACCAGCAGACTGGAAGTGGCCTGTGGCTGGGATTACAGGATCTTTTTTCAACAACTATTTTTAAACCTCCAGCTCAGGCCTGTCTCTTTCCTCACAGGTCTACTCCCCATATCCTCCCACTGGCCTTCGTGTTGTCTTCCTTTATGTGTTTTGCTCCATGTGAGTTTTCTCCTCTACCTGTTAGCAGGTGTGACAGCTATTGTTTATATCTGTGTGCTTTGAAACAACGGTAAAGCAAGGCAATGTGATTTTAATCCCAAACATAAAATCTTTGACCCCTCTATAACGAAAGCAGCACTCATATCCGGTTACTTTATTTTAAATTCCAAAGCCGATGGATGTTTTATTCAAAATAAAAAACACACATTGATTTAATCTATGATGAATATTTGGGGGAAAAGTTATCTGGTAACACAAAGCCACAGCTGGATAAAATAATGTCCGTAATCACTTATAAGAACACAACATGTCCCAGCTTTGTTTTCTGAACAGTTATTATTTATTTATTGTTGCTTTGTTTTAATCATAAATAAGAAAATGTTAAATTAAATCACCAATGGCAACATGACAGCCACTGCTGTGACTCTTTAAACCACACAGCGGTCCACATCACCCCAGACCGAGCGCGTGTCAAGTTACCGGGTACAAAGGAAATAAAAACTGAATACTTCAAAATAAAATAACAATCACAGTTTAAAGCATTTATGATCCTTATAATTCCGCAGTGACGATGCCGATTTCATCACACTGCCACAGGCATCATTTTCTCTTACTGACTGCCACGTTTACAGTGCTCATTTAAAAGAATGCACACGTTTCTGCTGGCTTGTCTGACGAGTGAGCCATTGTTTTGAAAATGTTAAACGGAAAAGAACGTTCGTACGTCGGTTAACTTGTCGCCATCAGCACGGCAGGAGCAGTGTTCAGCACCCCAGCATCGGCTGAAATATCACCTCCGGTGTACAAGCTCCACATCCCTCTCGGTGTGCGTGGAGCCGGGAGCCTCACCCGGTCTCCTACCGGTGTGGGCTGAAAGATGTGGGCTTCACCTGTGTCACGTAGCAGGTGAACCGTGCTGAAACAGTCTGGCAAGTACATCCTCCTTTGAGTTACTACGTGTATGCCTGAGCTTTTAGCGGAAAAATCATGCACTAACTCCCTTAACAGTCTGCCTTTCTATTAATTATGTACGTATCCGATCCTCGTTTTTCTACGTTATTTTGTTTATTCTCCTCGTTTGCTGTTTTGCCATTTTCACTGTACACATCGTTTATTTAGGCATAAAAAAATCGCAGTTTAGCCAGGCATGTGGTTATTAGTCGGTGGAATTATAACAGAATAGCAGATGAACTTTATATTATGAAGCGTGGTCATTACAATTCTCTGAGTTTTCCAGAATAATCCGCTGGTGTAAAATTGCCCTTTTCTAAAGTGAAGTTTGGCGTGTGGCACTCAAAGCTTTGGTCACTAACCAATGACATCATTGAACGGGTCTTCCTTTAGCAAGCGGTCGCTTTAATTTCTTCACCCCCACCCCCCGTTCGGGAGGAACGACGTGACAGCGGCATTTCTGCTGGCCTCGGCCAATAAAGCACATTATAGATGTCTGAAAACCGGTCCAGCGTCACGGAAACGCATGTTTAGTCCATTAGGTTGTGTCGAAGGCGAAGCCCCTGGTCGTATTTATCTTACATGATTTGTGAATCTTTTATATTTGAAAGCCAACGTGTTTGACAAAATAATTTTAAACACGTAGGATAAGCATCTCTGTTTTTATTATCACGGTTATTTAGTGTGTGTGTGTGTGTGTGTGTGTGTGACCAAATGACTAGTTTCTCTGTGGTTTATTGGTTATTTACACGAGACTACATGTTGCCGCTCTAATGCTACCGTTTAAAATGATAAGTGCATTTATTTAACATTGATCTGTGCACTGATCCCTGCCTGGAGGGCCATGTGTTTCTGTTGTTCTAATCTACTATGCAGACAATCAACAGCTAATATTGGATTACCTAGCCTGTGCGGTGTGTTGTTCTGAGGCCACACAAAGGATAGGGACCACTTTCTGTTCATCTCATCTATGTCTTTTCAATTTTCTTTGTCAGTCAGACCGCCTCTGTTCTGATGCTTACTTCTTTCTTTGGCTATAATCTGACTTTGGAAGCAGGGATGACTATGGATGCAAGATATATTGGCATCAATATCGGTATCGGCCAATTTGAGTCATTTTTTAACTTATTGGTATCGGTCCGATAAGTAACACGGGCAATAATTACAACCGTGTCTTCCGTCTTGTTTCTGTTTGTGTATCTATTTCAGAGGGTGAGGGGGATGATGATGTGTGATTGTTTGGTCAGGTGACAGTGATGGTAATCATTTCAGAAGCATAAATGTGTGTGGTGTGTGTGTATATAATAACATATAATACATACATAATATATATGTATAAAGTCTAGTTTGCATTTTATAGAAATAATGCAAGACATTCAGCAATTCAGCTTGCACAAATTTCAGTCTGTATAAATCTGCTGATTTCAGAGGCGTGTATTTATAGTGGTATCAGCAAATATTGTTTATCAGCTATAACAGGACATTAACATCAGCTATCGGTATCGGCCCATAATTTCACAACGGTGCATCCCTAGGTATGACCTATTGAAATTGCCATGCAGAGACTCAAGAAACTTTAATTATAGTTGGATTTTTTTGAGACTGAATGAGATATTTGTGTTGTCTGCTAATGAAGGAAGGGAGGAACACTAAACTCACTAATGTATGCAGATGACCTGGTGGTCTTCAGTCCAATTAGTGTGGGTTTACAGCAGCTTAATGATATCTGTGCTGAATTAGCTGTGCTATATGACATCCAGTATAATGCTGTCTTGATATGTAGAACCAACCAGGATAAAAGGCTTAATTTCCATGTGTTCAAAACTGTCAAATGTTGTTCTTACTGTGTGTGAAAAGGTGAAATATCTTGTTTATTTTATGAATGATTTAATGACTGATAACGATGACACATATAAGCAATGTTGTAAGCTCTATGCACAAGCGAATATCCTTGCACGTAAGTTTAGCTTCAGCTCATCTTCTGTAAATTTGGCTCTGTTTAAGGCTTTGTGCTCACCGCTCTATAGGGAGCCTAGTCACGCCCATCTAGTTCCGCACCACGAGTCCCCGAAAAAATGAATGCAAGTCGCTGGGGCTAAAAAACACTTTTTTCTAATCCTCTTTGCTTTAGACCCTGGATCGCACATATGTTGTACTGCAATTTAAATGAAATGTAATGATTGGTGTTACGACAATGCCAGTCATGTACTTTGAGATTTGTCAACTTGTAAAAGTTCGTAATTAGCATAAGTACAAACCAGAAATTGGCACGTCAGAGTGCACTCTCTGCTAAATCCTTCAATAACACAAGATCAGCCATGTCAGATTCCCGTCAGTCATGGATGTCTTCAATAGCTTTTAACACCGATTATGCAAAAAAGCTGTTTTTCCACTGACAAAATGATTTAGTGGGTAAAATAATTAATGGACGAGGAACGTGTGGACGACTGAGACCTTCAGTACTGTGGTTCCCACGTTCTACCACTAAATGCTGTTCATACACATGATCTATGGAATATTTTCACACACGAGCACAAAAAGATGAATATCACGCAATGTGTAAATTAGGTCCTACACACACATCTGTGCATAAGTACAGTTGATAAATAAATTCAAATCCCCTGAATTTGGGGATCCTCTGCCATCCCTCCAGGTCTGTCAGGTTGGATGGTGAACGTTGGTGGACAGCCATTTTTAGGTCTTTCCAGAGATGCTCAGTGGGGGTTAAGTCAGGGCTCGGGCTGGGCTATTCAAGAACTGTCACAGAGATGCCGTGAAGCCACTTCTTCATTATTTTAATGACACTTATGGTCATTGTGTGCTTAGGGTCATTGTCATGTTGGAAGATAAATCTTTGGCCCAGTCTGAGATCCTGAGCACATTGGAGAAGGTTCTTGTCCAGGATATCCCCGTATTTGGCCAGATTCATCATTCCCTTGATTGCAACCAGTCATCCTATCCCTGCTGCTGAAAAACACCTCCACAGCATGATGCTGCCACCACCATGTTTCACTGTGGGGACCGTATCGGACAAGTGATAAGCAGTGCCTGGTTTTCCCCACTCATACCACTTACAGTTAAGTCCAAAAAATTCTATCTTGTTATCATCAGACCAGAGAATTTTATTTCTCACCATTTCGCGGTCCTTCAGGTGTCTTTTAGTAAACTCCATGTGGGTAAGTGTGCCTTTCACCTAGGAGAGGCTTCCGATGGGCCACTCTGCCATAAAGCCCTAACTGGTGGAGGGCTGCAGTGATGGTTGACTTTCTCCCATCTCCTGACTGCATCTCTGGAGCTCAGCCACAGTGATCTTTGGGTTCTTCATTACCTCTCTCACCAAGACTCTTCTCCCCCCGATAGCTCAGTTTGGTGGGACGGCCTGCTCTAGGAAGGGTTCTGGTTGTCCCAGACGTCTTCCATTTAAGGATAATGGAGGTCACTGGGCACTTAGGAGCCTTAAGTGCATCAGAGATGTTTTTGTAACCTTGGTCAGATCTGTGCCTTGCCACAATTCTGTCTCTGAGCTCTTCAGGCGGTTCCTTTGACTTCATGACTCTCATTTGCTCTGACATGCATTGTGAGCTGTAAGGTCTTCTATAGACAGGTGTGTGGCTTTCCTAGTCAAGTCCAGTCAGTATAATCAAACACAGCTGGACTCTAGTGAAGGTGTAGGACCATCACAAGGGTGATCAGAAGAAATGGAAAGCACCTGAGTTAATGATGTGCCACAACTAACGATCGGAATACTAAGGACCATGTGGTATTTAGATTTTTTTATTTCAATAACTTTGCAGAAATGTCTTTTTTCTGTCTGTATGGGGTTCTGTTTGTACATTAATGAGTAAAAATAGTTGATTGATTTTAGCAATTGGCTGCAATATAACAGAGTGAAAAATTAATGGGGGTCTGAATACTTTCCGTACCCACTGTATTTTGCATGTGTTATGCATTTTTCTGTGATTATTCATTTATTATTACGTTACATACATACATGTCACTGGTCTCTATGAATCATTTGTTCTATTTGATGACTTTGCTCTTTGTGTTTTTTACCAACCAGACCCTGAGAATTTGGTCAATGGGAATCACCAGGCCAATTCATCACATCCACCCTTGGCTCCTGGAGAAAAAGCCCATTCTGAGCACAGTGCCATCGTCAGCTCCATTGAGAGGGATCTACAAGAGATCATGGATTCATTAGGCATGGATGACCCTGAACTTGAACCCTCTTCATCGGAGGCAATAAAGCCTCTTGGAAACCAGTCCATTTCCCCCTCCCCCTTGTCACCGGTGGCCAATGGAGGGGGAAGGTATCTGTTGTCCCCTCTTACTAGCCCAGGGGCAATGTCTGTGGGGTCCAGTTATGAAAATGCATCACCTCCTTTCTCCCCGCTCTCTTCCCCCTCAGCAGCCAGTAGTGGAAGTTTTACTAGCCCGTCTCCTGGTGGAGGACCCCAGGACCAGAGCTCCACTCTACCACCAGTGCCTACACGCTCCTCCAGCTACAACTTTACTACCCAGCCTCCCCCTGTGCCCCAGCCACGGACCGTACTGCCTAATTATACTGGGTCAGGCCAGAAAATTCAGGAAAGCCCGAGGCTACAGCGGAAGGTGTTAATAGCAGCTCCTCCGAGCCCCAAGCCAAGTCGCAGAGCACTCAGTCAAGATGGATCAGAGAGTCCACAACAGACCTCTCTTTTGTCTTCTACTGAATCTCTCAGTAGTAGACACGTAGTGCCAAGCAGTCCCAGAGTCACTCCCAAATTCCCTTCCTGTTCTTCCACATCACCCTCCAGTCCTAGGACCAAGACAGCCACTGTGCTCCAGGAAAGACCTTCCAGTCCCTTCAGAGAGCATACTGTTTTAGCTGATCGCTCAATGAACTCCAGCCCCTCCAGACAGCTTTTACAACCTAGTAAAGCATTTCAGCCTCCCCTAGACCCTGTTGTCCACATTATTCAAGGATCTCCCCTTCAACAGCATCCACGTTCATTGCACCCACCCGAGAGCCCTCGCATGGCTAGGAGAAACCTAGAGTTGAATGGGGGCTGTGGAGTGAGCAGTGGTATGAGAGAGTTGCCTCCTCCAAGTCCCTCCTTAGTTCGAAGAGGGGTCCCAGTTCTCCCAGGGGCACTTCCAGGAACAGTCCCCACACTGAGGACTCCAGAAAGCCCCTCAAGTCTGGGCAGGCTGGTCCCAGAGAGTCCCAGGCTTCGACGCAAAACTGGATCATCATCAGAGGAGCCATCTTGTAGTAGAGGGATCAGAGCCCGCAGTCCATCTCCTACCTCTATGATGACGGAGGGCTGTAGCAGTTCAGGTGTACGGAAGGCAAGCTTGGGAAATTCTTTGTCACCTGCCTACAGTCTAGGTTCTCTCCCTGGTTCCTCTCCTGTAGCCAGCCCCCGAACTCAGAGGAAGATGTCTTCAGGGAGACCCCATCCAGGAATGAGGGAGAGGAAGAACAGCATCACAGAGATCAGTGATAACGAGGATGAACTGCTGGAGTACCACCGACGGCAGAGAGAAGAGAGGCTCAGAGAGCAGGAGATGGAGAGGCTGGTGAGTTAAGACCACACAGCTCATTCTGGAAGGTACCAAGACTGACAAGTGTAGCATGTATTGAGCTTAAAAGCAACATATTATCCCTCTACACAAGAGTAAAGTGTTTGAGATAGCTTCATTTGAGAGGGGTTTTATACCAAATATTTCATGAACAAATGCTATATAGACCAGGAGTGCCCAGTCCTGATCATTAGGGCCAGGATCCAGCATGCTTTAGTTGTTTTTCTGCTCCAACACTCGATTCAGTGGTGTGATCATCTGTTCCGCATCACATGAAGCTCTGCAGAAGCCTATTATTCACCTACTGATTGTAATCAGGTGTGTTGAAGCAGGGAAACAACTAAAATATGCTGGATACTGGCCCTCAAGGTGCAGGATTGGGCACCACTGATATAGACCATAGATCTGTTAGAACATGTTCAAAAGCTGCAATGGCAAAACAAAATGGCTGAGAACCTTTTTTAAGGCTCTTAAATACATTCAAACATAGTATAACCAGAGTTTGCGTAAACACATCAAACGTGGTTTATTAGAGTCTCTTAAAGCAGTGCTTCCCAGCCTGGGGTCTGCGATCCCCCCAAGGGGGACCCCGCAACACTGAATAGTTTTCTAATAAATTCTCTTGGTTTATTTTTCGAAACAGAGGGACTGTCTAATCCTCATTTTCTGAATTTAGCATAAAATCACATCGATGTGTCTTCTTTAAAATTATTTCATTATTATTATTTTCATAATAAAAATATGTATAATCTGTAGTATGCTCAATAATGGCGTTTTTACCCATATTGTCTTAACTCTTAATTTCCAATACCGATATAAACCAGTAACAATAAATGCAGGGTTTCCCCTAATAGAAAAAGAAAAATGAAATCAGTTAGGTTGCTAACATCACATGTCTCTTATCATGAATGCTTAAGCTTTAAACATTATCCGTGCATTAGTGAGAAAACATGCCATGTTTAATTTGTCTCCAACAGCAGCTGAATGACATTCTCCTTGAGATAATCCAGGCTGATGCTCTGTGATGCCTTTACACCTCAGATAATTAAGTTCGTTATGGGAAAAGGTTTGATTAATAAGTTAATACATAATATCATTAATTCACTTGTACTAAGGTTTAAATGTGAGGATCAAAGTGAGACATCACTGTGACAAACTGTCTTTGTTATATATTGTCTGTGCGAAACGAGACGGAGCGAGCACTCACACCTGATAGACCCAGAAAGCAGATTTTCAGTACACAAGGCAAATTCCCAGTTATTCACAGATTGTGCCAAATAAAACAAAAATATCTCCAAAACTAAACCTCAGATCTGTCGTATTTTTGCCTTTTGAGAGAGAGAGGAGATGAAGCCGCAGGGTTTGATGGGTAATATGCGTATAGTTTGTAAAGGTTGGGTCACTAAAGGAGTAAAAACCCATATCGATATTTTCCGATATTACACTCTAAGGCCAGACCAATAATATCAGACATCCCTAATTATATGTAAAGGTCAGAGGTCACTACAAGTCCCACTGTTAAATGGGTGCAAATTTGAAGCACATGAGGACGTTGTCCTACGTGGTTCAAAAATGTCCTGCATGAGACACTCCCATGCCATCCAGTTTGGCAGATGTAGCTCCAAAGTGTTCACAAACACTAGTATGACTAAATATTTTGTGGAGATAAAAAAAAATGAAATGGTTCTCTCGCGTTTGTCTAAAATCCTCAGCCAATTACATGGCTCCGTCTGAAACCAACTATTGGACCATTTGGTTGTCGGTTGCGAAAACAAAAGAACTAAGAAACTGCGACTGATGTTTAGTGCCTTCTCTGGCAATATGGGTTTCTGGTGTTATGGGGGCGTGGCTTAGGGACGATGGCGAACAGGAAGGGTGACCGTTCTATGACCGTATTTGGGTTTAAAAGCCAACATTTTGGGCATATTTGCTGTTGCAGCTTTAAATAGGGTATAACATGTCCCCTTTAAACAGTCTCATTGGAGACCTACACTGTGTAGCCATTTTTCTGCTTGAACACACTAGAGTCAAACAGATGAGTTGCCCCTAAATTGGTAGAGACAGTAATTTCAGTCATGTTTTTTTAATCTGCGAAAAAATCTAAAGCATGCAGAATAGTGGCTTCTTGCACCGGAGTTTTACATCAGGTACTCTTGAAGTCCTGGTCAGCCAAGACATGTAGAGGAACTCATCCCGGTAGGACTCAGACTCACACGATCTGACTTCACGATCTGATCTGCTTTGCACAGAGATTGACCCGACTTTTGAGCAGGTTCTGGTTCCACCAGTTGTCCTGCAGAGACCCAGACCTTTTAGGATCAGCACTCTTATCTGAAAGTTACATCTGAGGGTGTTTCTGAGCAAGACGCTGACTCATGGTTACTGTGGCAGTAACGTTATGTAAAAACAGAAAAAAGCAAAAGGAGACATGTTTGTATTAACTGACTCAGTCCTCATGTAAACCCTCTGATCCCTGTTAAGGTAGCGCGACTCGGGTTGAGAATGACCACAGTCACCAATTCTTGTCATGCTTATGTATGTATGTCTGATCTAAGAACTGTGTGTACTGAAACTCTAAATTCCCTCTGGGATTAATAAAGTATCTTTGAATTACATATGTGCTGGGGGCTAATGCACAATCAGACGTTAAACTCAACTATTCTCCTTCAGTGGCGTGTGTTTACGTAGCATTTTAGTAGGGATGGACAATATATTGGCATCAATATCAGTATCGGCTGACGTTAGTCATTTTTTAACATATTGGTATCAGTCCCATAAGTAAAACCGGTGATATGTATTTGTTTAGTCATGTGACAGTGATTGTAATCATCTCAGAAGCGTAAATGTGTGTGGGGTGCATACATAATAATGTAAATTAAGCGAACCTGCTCATTTTAGAAGCATTAATGTCAGTATATCGGTATCGGCAAATATTGGTTATCGGCCATAACAGTGATGTTAATATCGGATATCTGTATCGGCCCAAAAATTTCATATCAGTGCATCACTACATTTTAGCTTTCAGGTAAGGGATCATGTTAAACCATAATGAACATTTAGTTAGACTTTATTGGCTTTTGTAATTTACACATGTATCTACAGTGGATAGAGTAGATGTACTCGTAGAGACTTGTTCTAGTCTTTAGCACAAACTCTGCTCCATCTCTGTGTATGTTTGTGAAAGGAGAACTATTCAGACCCATAAAGCATCCCTATAAACTGTCTGCACATTTGCTGTGGTCCAAATTGCTGCTGACGCTTGGTGATGGGGCGCCTAAATGAACCCATAGCAACACCATTGTTTGTTTTTTTCCAAAGTGAACTCCTAGAGGGTGTAGAAGGGTGGTTGTAAACATCTTGAACTTGTCTGCCAGGCTGAATGAAACTACACACACAAAAGTCCCTTTAGGAAAACCTCTATGTGTTTGTGCCTGCTTGAGAATGTTTTGGCTCGCCATGTTTGTAATTGGCGTGTAAGCATTTAGCCCAACACAGAACGGGGAGGACATGGTATGGCCTCTGTCTGTGAGCCAGGTCAGGTTTTGTTTCCTCATGTAGAGACGACGTGTTGGCACCAACAAATTCATAAATTAGGATAAAGCGTCCTGGGTTATTTCCATAGATAAAAGAAAAAATATGGAAAATGATCCTTTATATCGTGCCTCTTGGGCTTAAAACCACAAGGCCCTTCACATAAACAAAAAAATCGATTAAAGTACAAAAAAGATGAAAAAAAATCTAAAATATAACAAAAATATAATCTCTCAATAAGCTTCGAGAGGTGGTCATCTGAAATGGTTTCCCAACAGTCTTGAAGGACTACCTCTTGAAGCTCGTCAAGAGTGTGCAGTAACCAGAGCAAAGGGTGACTACTTTGAAGAAAATAGAATATAAAACATGTTTTCAGTTATTTCACCTTTTTTGGTTAAGTACATAACTCCACATGTGTTCAATCATAGTTGTAATGCCTTCAGTGAGAATCTACCAATGTAAATAAATTACCAGTTAAAAATGATCAAAGTCACAATGCTAAATGCAAAGTTTAGTGCAGAACATGGATCCAGAGGTTCCCTGATCGAGCCGACGCGTGAGAATTAATCAATTTCCCTCTGGGATTAATAAAGTAATTTTGAATTGAATTTGAATACACCTAATGACCACTTAGAGACGGCGCTGGCGAAATAAATACTTTTCTTTAGTGGGTCCCAATCCCAGTCCTAGAGGACTGGTATCCAGCATGTTTTCATTGTTTTCCTGCTCCAACACACTTGATTCACCAGGTAAGCAGCACATGAAGCTCTGTAGAAGCTCGTTAATTACCTGTTGATTAAAATCAGATGTGTTGAAGCAGGGACACAACTGAAACATACTGGATGGAATGGACGCCTCTGCTTTAATCCCATTATTAAAGGGCAAAATAATTTACAAAGCCATAAAATTAGGGATTCTGCGATCGGGCTTTTTGCTGCCCATCGCTGATACCAATCACCAAGAGTGTGTGGTAAACCCCCAAGTATGAGAAATATATTTATATTTGTATGTATATATTTACACACCACACACATTTATGCTTCTGAGATAATTACTATTGCATGAATAAACAATAATGCGTCCTCACCCCTTCGCCCTCTGGAAGGGGTACACAAATGGAAACAAGTTGAAAAAAATACCGGTTCTTAATCCTGGCCCAGTTTTACTTTTCAGACCGAAATTGATGTTAAAAAAATTACTAACATCAACGTTTATTTTGATGCATCATTTATATTGTTTATATATCATTTATAGTGAGATTTGTAAAGGGAAAGATTTAGTGTGAGATCAGAACTAAACTTTTATTCCGTTTGGTTCTAAAAACTCCTACTGGGATTAGGTTCACTTTGGGAGCGGAGTCAGCTAAACAAAAATGGGATATTTAGAGAAGAATCAGGAAAAATTCACATCAACACACTATGTCATTCAGCAGAATAAAAAAAGACAAACTAAATCTTTTCCATTAA